GCCTCGAATGCGAGCGCCTGGTGGCCAGGCCTCCACTCACGGGCTGAGCCTGAACAAGTGATGTGGGGACATCCTCCCGTGGGCCCACCACCAGCATGAGGATCCGTAAGGGGCTGGTGCACAGTGGATCAGATCCAGCAGTCGAAGGCAGGGGCTCTGACAACCCAATCTCTGGGCACGGAGACTAGCCCTGGGGACATGGAATGTCACCTCGCCAGTGGGGAAGGAGCCCGAGCTTGCGCAGGAGGTTGAGAGGTACCGGCTAGATATAATCAGGCTCACCTCAACGCACAGCTTGGGCTCTGGAACCTTACTCCTCGAGAGAGGCTGGACTTTCCACTACTCTGGAGTTGCCCGCGGTGAGAGGCAGCGGGGTGGTATGGGCTTACTTATAGCCCCCCAGCTTAGCCACCATGTGTTCGGGTTGTTTCCCTGCGCCTTCAGGTCAAGGATAGGTCTCTCACTGCCATTTGTGCCTTTGGGCCGAATGGCAGTGTAGAGTACCCGGCCTTCTTGGAGTCCCTGGGAAGGGTGATGGAAAATGCTCCGACTGGGGACTCCGTTGTTGTGGTATGGGCTTACTTATAGCCCCCCAGCTTAGCCACCATGTGTTCGGGTTGTTTCCCTGCGCCTTCAGGTCAAGGATAGGTCTCTCACTGCCATTTGTGCCTTTGGGCCGAATGGCAGTGTAGAGTACCCGGCCTTCTTGGAGTCCCTGGGAAGGGTGATGGAAAATGCTCCGACTGGGGACTCCGTTGTTCTACTGGGGAACTTCAATGCTCACGTGGGCAGCGACACCTGGAGGGGCGTGATTGGGAGGAACAGCCCCCCAATCTGAACCCGAGTGGTGTTCTGTTATTGGACTTCTGTGCTAGTCACAGTTTGTCCATAAAAAACACCATGTGGTTGTGGAGGCAAAAACTCGGGTCTGGGAGGAGTTCGGTGAGGCCATGGAGAGGGACTATCGGTTGGCCTCAAAGAAATTCTGGCAAACCGTCTAGCACCTCCGGAGGGGGTACCAGCGCCCTGCCAAAACTATTTACAGTGGCGGGGTG